GGTTCTTCTATGGCATCGTGAAGCACCTTTATTTTTGAGAGTGTACCCAAAAATAGAAACCAATTATAGGTCAAGATGGGAGTGGACGTAAACATGAAATGAGAGAAAGTAAAGTTCTTTGGAGGGCTGAAAGAGATGCAACTAAATAGAAAAAAATAAATAAATGGATTTAAATGTCCTTTATCGGTGAAACAAAATATCTCAATTTTTAAGATGCTTGGTAATGTGAGGCGGCGTTTTATCACACAATGAAACCTATCTGATGTCACACTAGACCTGGATAATATTTCAAATACTCCTTATATTCCTGATGATTATGTGCCTGATCAAATTAAGCAACATTGGGAATATAATATTGTGCTTTAATGAGCGTTTAATTTGCCCTTTAAGTTTCTTAAAGACCCTTTTATGTCATTAAAGAGTAAACACATAAATATACTGTTCAGTACTTTGATTTAGGCTGATCTCTATTATCGCTGATGTTTTCTTTTATGTTGTAGGACTTCTAGTTCATATGAACATTGTAACAATATTTGCAAAAGAAATGTTTGGAAATCTAAAACTGGTATTTCCTGCGTACACAAAAGCACAATATGTAAATAACCATCTTGAAATATTTTTTGTGAAGCATTGTTGTCCCAAGGCTGAAAAGTTTCATAAATTATATAATTTTCATAGATTTAGCACCCAGCCTTATGTCCATTAAAAGCCTCCATTTATTCTAACAAAATCCCCAGTGAGCTTGCACTGAAAACAATCAAATATTGGTTATTTAATTTTTGTGAGACACAAACATTTTTGTAGTCACAAATCACATAGTGTTACACTTTTTCAAATACTTGAAAGCTACGACTGACAGCTTAATGTCAGAACTTCACCACTCGGGGGCCATTCACACAGCTCAAAAATGGATAGACAGAGCATAATTCAGTTCAACAGAACGCACGTTTATAGGTGCACACTTGTAATTGTAAACACAATCGTCTAAATAGAAATTTAATTATCACAAGCCCAAACTCATCTGATTGGTCCATTATTTCAAAACTGACATTGATTCACTGAGTGTCATTAACATTAAACCATGTTTAATGGTGTGAGACACTGAAAAAAAGACCATTGTAATGATGTTTACCTAAATCAACCATTACTATTTAGTATTATGATTATTTAATATTATTGTACTGTTGATGTTTGTCAATGCAAATATCTCCATACAATAGTACATAGGTTTTATTCCATAATTTGCTTTCTACTCAAGTGAAATTACCTGCTATTCTAAACTTAATTTAATAAAAATGTCACTGTGTACATTTACTGCTTTTAACTATTGCTTGCTATTTAAAGGAATAGTTCACCGGAACACTGTATCATTATTTACTCATACACATATTGTTCACATACACTAACATTCAAAAGTTTGGGGTCAGTTAGACAAGATTTTTTTTT